GGCAGAGACAAGCAGGAACCTGAGTGTGTCATAACATCGTCCTTAAAATATTTGCATATTTAAATAGGCTAGCTGACCCAGAAGTCGATGTTAATCATCTCCCTCAGCAAAATATTTCTAAAACATGTTAGTGCATGGACCATACAATGAGTAACCTTAAAAATGAAGGCCCGCCACTCTTTCCTCCATCAGTTTTCTCTTTTCCCTTCAGATGTTTTCTTTATTTGATCCAGCTGCTGCAACAAACTTACACAGATAACTCTTTCTGGAAGTTGTCCTACATTTGAGGGTCTTTGGAAGTAAGGTTCTTACTGCAGACTACAGAAATTACCTTATCCAAAGCTCCACACTTCTTTTTTATGTTATAGAGGCAAACCCTTCCAGCTTTGTCAGAATAACACCCTCAAAAGCGATTACTTGATTCAACAGAGTTTATATTTAAATCTCTTTTGGCTGTACTTGCCCAGCCCAGCCATCTGCTCTCTTGTTGCAAGAGTTTAGCACCCTGCTGAGATTTGCCTCCTCAGCGAGGTCAGCAAAGAGTTACTATAGCTTGGCTGGGATGGAGGAGAAAGAAAGCATGCCAGTGGGCAGAGCCAAAAAACAATGAATGGTAGAGTTGGTGAATGCTATGAAATTCCTGATTTTAGTATATCCCTGAGCAAATTATTGTTGGCACCGAAAGGTGGCATCAGTAATACAGTAGAACCTCTACTTACAACCATAATCTGTTCCGGAGGTCCGGTCATAACTAGAAATGTACATAAGTAGAGGCGCACTTTCCATAGAAAGTAATGGAAAAGTGAATTGATCCATTCTAGACGATGAAAAACACCCCCTAAAACAGCAATTTAACATGGATTTTACTGTCTAACGAGACCATAGATCCATAAAATGAAGGCAATAATCAATGTACTGTACTATAAAATAAATAAGACAGTATTGTAGATGAAAAAAATAAGCATTTATTTTTTTTTCTTACGTGCACTGAGGGTGGGTGGGCTTACCTGGCTACAAGCTGCGGATGGGGTAAGGGTCAGGAAAGAGCTGATTCACTTTGGCCAGGGTCACTTTTTTTTCTTGCCAGCCAGGTTCTTCTCTGGACTTCATCAGGTTACCGTATTTTTCACCCTTTAGGACGCACTTTTTCCCCTCCAAAAATGAAGGGGAAATCTGTGTGCGTCCTATGGGGCGAATGCAGGCTTTCGCTGAAGCTTGGAGAGCGAGAGGGATCGGTGCGCACCAACCCCTCTCGCTCTCCAGGCTTCAGGAAGCTATCAGCAAGCCTGGGGAGCCCGCGGGAGTCCCCGCAGGGCTCCCTAGGCTGCGGATAGCAGCCTGCTGCACGGAGCGCGGGGAGCGCTGAAGCAGAGCACCCCGCGCTTCGGGCAGACATTGGGCAGCCCCACAAGCTCGGGGGACAGTGGGGAGGCACAGCGCCGCTGCTGGCAAGGCCTCTGTTCGTATCTAGATGAAAGTTCATAAGTCGAAGCACCTACTGAAGGTCATAACTGGAATCATACGTAAGTAGAGCCGTACGTAAGTAGAGGTTCCACTGTACTCCATTCTTCTGAGAGGTCCAAGCATCTTTCCTTACAGTAGCATAGTTGTTTATTGCGTGGGACACAGGTGGGCAGCTGAGACTCCAGTCCTCTCTCTCTGGCCCTTGGGACTCTTCTCCAGGCTATGTTTCTTCCAGAAGCCATACCTCCTTTCCATAGGCCAAGCCCTTCACTGTCTGTGCTCCACTCCCTTCTCAAACACTTTCAACTGGCTTGAATGTGTCCTTAAATTGTGATAACACCTCTTGCTTGCCTGGATGGGAGACAGCAGGGCGTGTGAGAGTGTAAATGTGACTGTAGAAACCTCTGATTTTTGCATGGTTGGAGTGCAACCCACTGGGTGAAAGGAAAAAGTTACCTCACCCGCTTTTTGTCTCTGGGCCTGCTCACCCCCTTGCATGCAGATCCTGGAAAGCCACCCATGAGGGAATGTGGACCTCAAGCTGAAAAAGGTTCCACAGCCCTTGTGCAAGTTCTAGATGTCTTCCATCAAGACAGTGCTTTTGTTTTTGGGATATTGCATGTTCCTGCTACTAACTGCACATTTGTTGCTGGGAAAATGCCATTCCTATACCCACATGTGTTCTTTGTTATCATGTTTTTATTTTTATTTTTAAGGAGAACAACTATGCAATGGGCTTGAGTTGCTGCTGGGGGAAATTCCGCAGAACAAGAAACAATCTCTTTCAGTTTTTTGTTTTTTTTTAAAAAGTAGCATGATTAGCTTTCTCTTTACTCAAAATGACATCTGTGCAAAGAGGACAGCTTCCCTTTTAGTAGGAGAGCTAATTACTCTAATTATGCACATGACTTCCCCAGAGAATCCTGGGAACTGTAGCATGTTAATGATGGTGGGAATTGTATCTCAGTGAGGGGGAGACTACAGTTCCCAGTGTTCTTTGAGGGGGCAGTCACGTGCCTTAAATGTGCCTTGAATGTGCTTGAAATGGAGGGTATGGATCTCCCCCATGTTGCAGAGCCTAGGAGCTGATATACTGTCGCTGAAAGTCTTACCTAGAGACAGCTTTGCCTATTAGGGCTCATTATATATTCCATTGCATAGCTCTCATATTAGGTTTTGGGAGCACTTTAAGAATGGCTGATCATTTGTACAACTTTTTTCTTAGGCACATTGTTAGGTTGGGAAGAAAACGTTTGTGTACAGATGTAATATTTATTAGTTCAAAAACCAAAAGAGTGCTGGGAGAAAAATCAAAAGGGTGATGGGAGAAGAGATAATAACATGAAAATCTGCCTCCTTGGAATGCACTGGCACTATTTAACAAAGGGGAGACTTTCCAAGAGCAGTTATAACTTCTCCGTCCAGTGTGCAAAAAGAATGTGGCTTATACATCTGGATGAGGTGACTTTGTTTTTTAATAGTGGGACACTTTGATTGTGTTACTGGAAGTAGGCAGGTTGCTTTTATTGCTTAGTTTATGGAGGAGATCACAGCACATTCCCAAAACTGTGTGTTAAGATAGGTCTTATCGCAAGCATGCTTACTAGGGAGTAAACCGGATGGAGGTTTTCTCAGTACAGCTGCTTACTTGAATGTCTAACCTGACCAAAGCTCACTAAACAAACGAGAAGAATCGTACCTGCACATTTTGCCCCATATTTCAGGTTATACAAAGGCTAGAAATGTACATCCAGGATAGCCTGGACGATTTTCATTTATTTTTGGATTAATAAGTGCTCTATGCAGAAAAGGTCACTAAAAGAAGTTTCAGCATCTTGGGGGGGGGAATAACTTGTTACACTTGATGGGTACTTGTGATAACTCTAAGGTTTCCTTGCAACTGCTGTTTAGCAGGTATACTGTAGCGGCTGGTATATGAGCTGTGAACTGGGTAGTTCCTATTTTGATTCTTGCCTTACTCCTCAATTCAGTTGGCAAGCCACTTTCCAATCCACAATATGATTGTACTGACCCACCATAAAGGGAGGCTGTTAGCATTACTTGAAGTACGTCAAACACTCTAAAGTGCAGTATAAATGCTAAGCGTCGCCACTATCAGCATCTAGTTACCTTGGGTTAATGGTCTGAGGAGAAATTTGATTCAGTGTACATTTAGAGGTGATTCTATCAAATTCTCACTTTACAAAGCAATATGCAAACTGAAGCACAGCTGTCATTTGAAATTTGCACCCATCTGAGTTTTGCAATGCAGTTTTCCAGCCAAACAATGTTTACAAAAATGCATATGTTAAGGGGAAAGTGTGCATAAAAATGAAGATGTTAGTGCAGATAACATTCAAAAATGCTCTTTAGTAGCTGAAATTGCATAGCAAAAATGTATATGTTAGTTTAAACTATGTACAAAATTTGCATACTAGGAGAAATTTACTTTGCTGCAGAATTTTCATGATGATTTCATATATCACAGAGTGCTGCAATATGTGGAGGACTGAATTTAAGATTGAAAAATGAGAAATTGAGAGAACCGAAATTGACAGATCCTTCCATCCTTTTTTTGGGTCTGCTGCTGGCCCTGACCCTGTCTGTGACCCACCTGCCATTTTAATTACCCACAATACCTGTGGCATGATGTCACTTTGGGGCATGTGGAAAATTAAAATCGCAACTCTTACTCCTGGGTCCTAAGGGACCGCCTCTCCTGGTATGCCCCGTGGAGGACCTTAAGGTCCATAAATAACAACACTTTGGAGGTCCCAAGCCTCAAGGAGGTTGGATTGGTTTCAACTAGGACCAGGGCCTTTTCAGCACTGGCCCCGACATGGTGAAACACTCTTGTCACAAGAGTCTAGGGCTCTGCAGCATTGGACATCTTTCTGCAGGGCCTGCAAGATGGAGCTGTTCTGCCTGGCCTTCGGCTTAGACTTATCTGAAGAAGTATGCATGCACATGAAAGCTCATACCAGTAACAAACTTAGTTGGTCTCTATATGGGATTTGGTATATAAATTTTCCCTTGGCTTTTTTGCTGGCCCATGTAGGACCAGCATGGATAGCTTTCTCAGGTGAATATCTGATGTTTCCTCCCTTTATGGTCTTGATTTATGGGCTACTACTAAAATGAGGCTGCATTTTAAGCTGTATTTTAAGCCATATTTTAATTAACTGTTTGTTTGTTGTTGTTTGGTTTCCTCCCCCCCATTACGTTTTATTGTAATTCATATTTGATGTTAGCTGTGCTGAGCCCGGCCCTGGCTGGGGAGGGTGGGGCATAAATATTTATTTATTTATTTATTTGCCAACAGTGTCGTGAGTGACACTATGTTGGGCGTAATTTAAATGGCAGACTTGCAGCTGCCTATTCCAGATTGGATATCTGTCACTGCTTGCCGCCACTACTACTAGCAGGTAATTTGCTAGACATCCACTTCCAGGGTGCATGGGAGACTCAGAGTTGGTTCTGATTCTAAGTACTTTTAACATACTACCAGCTGCCTGGAAATGTCCAAAACTTTCCAAGCACTATCCAGAAAATAGCTCTGTCATTAGAGTATGAGACTCTTGATCTCAGGGCCGTGGGTTTGGGCCCCACCTTGGGCAAAAAGATTCCTGAATTGCAGGACTACATGGCCCTTGAGCTCCCTTCCAACTCTACAATCCTATGATTCCATTTTGTGCTTCATTCTTGAAGGTATCATGCATACTGATGGGGCTGGCTATCATTTATCTAATAGTAAAGAAAACGCTTCATGTTCAACTTGATTTCATTAACTTAGCTGTTGGTCTGGTCTCTGTCAATTTTAAGCAAACTTTGTTCAAGCAATTTAAATGAAATAATTGAAAATCAATTTCACATAGAGATGTGCCATTGTGTGAATTTGGATTCCTCTGGTTGTTTCGCCATGTTTGTTTTAATAATACAACATCTTTTGGGCAAACACCTTAAATAATTATGTGGGGGTTTTCTTTAGGCAAATCAGGAAAACCCTGTCTTCCTCAAACTTTCAGCACTATACTAAACTTGTCAGAACAGTATTCGAAGCCTCCATCGCTGGTTCAGCTGGTTCCAATGAGTTTATCGTGGCACATTCAGTTGGAGGAGCATAGGCTTTTAAATGTGTTTGAGACTACTCATGGCCCATGATCTGCTTATTCGGCTGCTCCCACAAGACACATAGCTACAAAGCACCTATAATATCCTTCCCCACTCAGCATATGTGCTGGGAATGAGCAGTTGGGCAATGTGACCTCTGGAACACCTAGCAATAGACACTATAGTAGGAAGGTGCAGCAAGACAAGCTGCTAGCCTACCAGAACCATCTGTGTGCATTACAAGAAGGGATTAAACCAAGCAGAAAATGCTGGGAGAAGAAAGAAACGAATCACAGCAGTAGGTGGATTTTCAGCAAGTGAGCTCAGCTAAGGAAATGGGCTTTTAAAAATACATTCTGAACAAAAGTCCCAGGGGAGCTGGAAGGGCCAGTGAATGACCATGTAACATCTCTTCCCCACCCCGCAGAGGCCATGACCATTGATGGCTGTCATCAGGTAGAAACTGTTGGTTTGCAGCAGTGAGCAGGCATTTAATATGTCCCCTGATTTCTGGTGTTTCCTCACCTAAAATCGGCCATTTACAAGGGTGTAGAGTCATTGCCCCATCTGTTTTCTTCTGTTGCATGTTAACACCTTACCATGTGGCGACAGCTGCCATGTGGAGCAATGAGAAGTGGCATTTGCATCGGAGCTGTAATATTTCCACCAGCCCAAAGAATTATTATTAGCCCATTCATTCAGTTCAGACTCGTCAGGCAGTAGAGGCGGGACTGTACATTTTGGGTTTTGCCACATGGAACCGAGGAGATGCTGTGATAGCTCAATTGAATAATAGTAGCTTGCCTATAGAAGGTGGCTGGGATCCTAAAGAGCTGCTCTCAGATTAATGGCAGTGGGTAGATGGACCAATGCTTGACTCTATATAAGGCAACTTCCTGCGGCCAGGGGCGAATTCCTTTTGCGTATTGGTTCATAGCTGTCATCAAACCTTTCCTCATGTGAAGGCCTATTGAGGGTGAAAGTCCCCACCTGCTTGTTTGTAACTAATTATCAGTATCCAGAATCAGTACACCAAACTTTGGGACCTTTCAAAGTCCACTGCTTTTCTCAGTGCAGAACATTTAATTTTCTTTTAGCACAGAGGACATGTGAATCTGGTCTTCCCCTGGCCTTCACTTTATTTATAGCTCACTTTGCCTTACTCACAGGAAGGCTAAGAATGAAGTACATGACCAGGCCACCAACTGTCTGTGGGTCTCCAGAATGTCCACTAAGGTCATTAATATGCGAAACGTAACTCAGGCTGCTTCTCTGTAACTTCCATGCTTGCAACTAAAGCTATTATTATAGCCAGAAGTCGTTCAGTCGCTTTTTACAGGGCATCTGCACGATGTCATGAGTAATACATCTTTACCCATTCTCCCATTTCTGCTTGTTTTTCAGAGCTCAGGTTTTAAAACAAAACACAGTGGAACAACGGCACAATCTTTCCATGTGTGAATGACCCATCACAAAGCTGTGAGCCTGACCATAGGAAGAAGCCATCTTCTGGAGGTGCTCTCACTTTCAAAGGTTAGTCTGATGCAAATGGTGAGAGGGCATTATTGGTTGTGGCCCCCTGTCTATAGAACACCCTCCCAGAAAAGTTCAGCTGGTGCCCATGGCTGTGTATTTGAAGAGCCAGGCAAAAAGACTTTATTTGCTCAGTCCTATCCAATATCTCTGGAATTAGTTTGTAATGTTCTGTTGTGTTCTGCTGTTTTAATCATATTTACTCAATGGTTGCAGTGGTTTTAGCGTTTTCTTTTGGTTGCCTTCATTATTGTGAACAGCCCTGGTAAAAGTGAAGGAAGGGCAGATTATAAATTTCTGAAAGAATAAATATGTGCCCAGCTTGCTTTCCTTAATACTTCTCCTGTAGACAAAACTAATCAGCATTTTACCTTGTCTTCCAAATGACTTTGTGCATAGCTGGGTTTTTTCAACCAAAGTAGTCATAACATTTTTTTAAAAAAAATCTTCTTTTAAATAGCTGTCTCTGTATTTTTTATTTAAATAGCCATGGAGAACAATTTTAATTTTGTTCAGTATATATTCCCTGGCTACTTTCTGTTATACGTTTTAACCTGAACTGTTTTAAAGATTGTTTTGGGATTGCTGTAAAGATAAGTTCTTATTGTTTGTTGCTGTAAGTTGTTTCCTGGGTGGGTGAAAACAACTGAATGAAAATAATGAATTGATCTGTTTAAGGTAAATGACAAAGAACACACACAACTAAGTTTAAATAAATAGATTGCGGATGACTTCCTTTTCCCCGTTTTCTTTTAATGGCTTTACTTATTCTTTCCCCTCATCTAAACTCTTTTTTCAGAAATAGCTGCAAATCTGGGTCTCCTGTATATGTTTTGATGACATAAATACCTCCCTGAATATCCAGAATCCATGAAGGAAAGGTAAAGAAGAACACAAGTTCATATTGAAGACTCCAGACTAATGTTTGAAAGATTTGCATTGAATGGGCTGATCCAGTGCGTTTTTTCTGGGGGAACACAGGGGTACACGTACCCCTAAACATTTTGTGAATCTATGTTTGACTTCATTGAGGGGCAGTATTTCAAGATGAGTAGGAAAATGAGAGTACCCCTAAACATTCTTTTAGAAAAAAAGGACTGGGCTGATCATGAAAAGTGTTGAGATCAAGAGATGTGAAGGGATATTATAATGCCTTTTGGAGACTATTAACTTTTTCAATAGAAGCCTAATGAGAGAGATGAACCAAGGTAGGTAGCCGTGTCGGTCTGACTCAGTCGAAATAAATTAAAAATTAAAAATTGTCCAGTAGCACCTTAGAGACCAACTAAGTTTGTTCTGGGTATAAGCTTTTGTGTGCATGCACACTTCTTCAGATACACTGAAACAGAAGTCACCAGACCTTTATATAGTGGTACCTCGGGTTAAGTACTTAATTCGTTCTGGAGGTCCGTTCTTAACCTGAAACTGTTCTTAACCTGAAGCACCACTTTAGCTAATGGGGCTTCTTGCTGCTGCTGCGCCACCGGAGCACGATTTCTGTTCTCAGCTTGAAGCAAATTTCTTAACCAGAGGTACTATTTCTGGGTTAGCGGAGTCTGTAACCTGAAGCGTATGTAACCTGAGGTACCACTGTATATAGTGGGAGGGTGGGGTGGGGTTTTTCTCAGAAGGGTAGTAGGAGATGGGTGATTGACTCAATGGGTATGGTAAACCTGTTGAAGACTGTTAACGACTGCAATTAGTCCTACAGGAAAAATCAAGGGATAGTATACAGGTGACCAAGATGGCAACAGCTGTTCAGCATAGAGCAGACTGCCTTGGCAGGTGGGTGGTAGACAGCCATCTACCAGTCAGGGATGATATAGCTGCATTGTGGATTGTACAGGGGGTTGGACTATTTAACTTGTAAGATCCCTCACAATTCATGGTTTCAGTATTATTGCCTCTGAATCTTTCCCTCTAGTGCAGGCATAGGCAAACTTGGCCCTCCAGGTGTTTTGGGACTACAACTCCCATCATCTCTAGTTAACAGGACCAGTGGCCAGGGATGATGGGAGTTGTAGTCCCAAAACATCTGGAGGGCCGAGTTTGCCTGTGCCCTCTCTAGTGTGTTGTACTCAGTTGGGTGAGGCCTCCTGCTTCTCCTGGTGGTCTCCTAGGCTGAGTGCCAAACTATCTGGTTAAAGCTCTAGAACTGGCATTTGCTGGAAGGCAGAACTGGCAACCTAAGGTTAGACTGGTATTTCGGTGGACTCATTACAAAATAGCTTTGTACATCAGTGATGAGCAACCTGTACTCCAGAGAACTCTGAAGTTCCTCAGGAGCTGATCAGGAGTCCCTCAGCAAGATATTAATTAATGGGAGGCAATCTCTCTCTGAAAGTCAGCTTGCCAACATATGCAAGAAGGGAAATCTAACACTATCAGATGAAAGGAAAACTATTTATGAAACACAATTCTCAAGTGACTTTTTTCTGTAGCTGCCATATTTATTTTGCCTGCTTGTGGGACATGCAATCCTTTTCTCCTCCTTTCATGACTAACTTTTAGGTCAATTGTTTTTTTATTTGAATTGGATCATTTTTATATTTTTGAAAGGTGCTGCTTGGATTGCAAATTGTTGGTTAGTCGAAACAAACTTTGTAAACTGATCTAAAGATTATTCCTATGTGTAAATAAATTATGTGTGTCTCTTGGGCATCAGATGAATAAGCTATGTGGATCAAATTACAAGCAGGCAAATTTCTTCACTAGCTTTCCCTTGCAATGCAAAATGTACAACATTCCTGAGGTTTTTTGTTTTGTTTCTTAAAAAAACTTTCATCCATGCAGCAAGAGGCTATTTGAAATGCATGTATGTTTTAAGATAGCATAAATACATTTCACTGGCTTCTGAAATGTATATGGTACAGAATAATAATTAAAATAAATAAATAAATAAATAAATAATCAATCAATCAATCCAGAAACCAAGGAGACAAAATATAGAATATTTTGATTACTTTATGCTACATGTACAAGGCATTTGCTTTGTCTAATATCTTCCAATTTGGCTAATATTTCTGGGTTAGTGATCGTTCTTTTGAATGTTCAGTGGCGTTTAAAGCACCATTCCTGGGTTATTTGAAATCTCAGGAAGAAAATTTAGGGAGTAAGGCAGTGACCATACTTTTCTTGACAGTGAGTCATAGAATTGTAGTGTTGGAAGGGACCTCCAAGGGCCATCTAGTCCAACCCCCTGCAATGCAGGAATCACAGATAAAGAATCACACACAGCCAGTCAGCCATACGTCAACTTCTTGGTTATTGTGTGAAAAAATTCATAAATGTACCTCTTCAAAAGTTTCTCCAAATGTCAATTAGTTTATAATTAGCTGAAAATGTCAAAATGCTTTATGTAATAATGGGCAATTCTCATTGCTTTGAACTGAGCAGACACTAGATTTTCCACTCAAGCTTTTTGGGCTACATTTATGAAACTCCTCCATTTAAATGTCATTTTCCTTCAATGTTAAGCTGATTATCAGCTGGTGAAACGGCACCAGCCATGTAGTTGCTCGGAATGAGAGAACTAATATCTTTGTTAGAAAAAAAATGGGAAGGAGAACAAAAGCAGGCCTGTGCAGTTAATCACATGTCAATAAATGTTCAATACAAAAATCAAGGCCTGATTTTGTGAACTATTGAGCAGTCTGAACTCCCACTGAACTTGCAGACTGTAAAATTCCATCAAGCTAGATGAATAAAATGAAACTATCTATACCACACACCGTTGGCTAATTTTGCTGTTGACTGCTGACTGCTTTAAGATTTGTGGTTTTTAAATATATATATAGCAAGTTCTGCAAATATTTTTGTGTCTCAGTCAGATCAGCCTTTCCTAGAGATTTTTGTGTGAAATAAAACTGTGTAAGGAAGAAGCAGAAATAGTGATGACACAGTACTTCTGCACTTTCGAGTAAAAGTATGGAGCACTTCAGCTGTAGTTGGACTACAAATCCCATAATCCCTTACCATTGGCCATGCTGTCTGGGGCTCAAGGGAATTGTAGTGCAACAACAGCTGGAGGGCACCATGCTGGCTATCTCTGACGGAAGACTTGATTTATTATAGGAAGACACTTGTTATGAACTCCTTATGTTGTGAAGTAACTGTCACTGCTGTTAATATTTGAGCAAGCTTACTTACGTTATTAGGGACACGGGTGGCGCTGTGGACAGAGCCTAGGACTTGCCGATCAGAAGGTTGGCGGTTCGAATCCCTGCGACGGGGTGAGCTCCCGTTGCTCAGTCCCTGCTCCTGCCAACCTACCAGTTCGAAAGGACATCAAAGTGCAAGTAGATAAATAGGTACCGCTCCTGCGGGAAGGTAAACGGTGTTTTCGTGTGCTGCTCTGGTTTGCCAGAAGCGGCTTAGTCATGCTGGCTCCCTTGGCCAATAAAGTGAGATGAGCGCTGCAACCCCAGAGTCGGTCACGACTGGACCTAATGATCAGGGGTCCCTTTACCTTTACCTTATGTTATTGACTTCTTACCACATCAGGTTAAATGCTTCAAAAATGGAAGCCAAGCTGTGAGTTTGTATGAGGCTATGATCAAAAGTGATTCTATGGAACATATTCAAATACATTCCCATCTAGGGACTGTACCTTCTTTCCCCTTCTTAGCTGGCATGGGATGAAGTCTTGTTTGAAAGCTCCACCACATCTTTCTCTCTCTAAATGGGAAGCAGCCCTCTACGGAGTCAGACCATTGGTTCAGCTAGTAGTTCTCCAGGGCTTCAGACAGCACTCTCTTCCAGTTCTACCTGGAGATGCTGGGGATTGAAACTATGACCTTCTGCATACAAACCACAACCTCTGCCAATCAGGCCCTTCCCTAAGGTGTAAAGCTTATGCAAGGAAGAAGCTCTGGGAAAAGAACAGGGACAAACCAGTTGCAATAAAAAGCAATGCTGTTGCTGCATGGCATCAGCCTGATCGGTCACCCCATATAAATTGGGGGTGCCTATAAACAAGAAATTACCTGTGTGTGTTTTGAGAGGGTACAGGCTCAGTGGAGGATAGTACCATGGGCCTTCTCTTTAAGTCTGAATTGGGTCTTACAGAGTGTGTGTTTTGCAAGCAAAAGATCCTAGCTTCATTCCCTGGTTTCACCATGCAGGAAAGACTCATGCAACTGTCAGTATAAACAACAGCAGGCTAGATGGACAGATGATCTGCATTGGTATAAAGCCGTTTCTTGTTTATTCTATGTTTTTTTTACAGGAGCAACGTCACCACCTTTTTGTGTCCCTCAGAGTCAGCCAAATCAGGTAAGAGAGAAACTCCTAAAAATTAAACTGATTCAGATAACAATCTTTTATTATTATTTTCTTTAAAATTGGTATGTTATTAGTTCCTTTCTACATTTTTTCCAGAGCTCTGTACAGTTCTTAAAAGGAAATAAGCAATGTTCAATGTACAAAGTAAAAAACAGTAAACTAGAAAAATCTGGATAAAATGGAGCAAGTTGCTGGCAAGGATACAGTACAAATTAGTAATTAGACATCTGAAGTGCAATACCACTGCAGTGAGGATGAGTTAAAGAAGGAAATAAAAATACTCTATTTTAAACAAACATTATATATATATTTATATTTATATAATATTTATTTATATGTATATATTTTACAGATTAGACCCAGTGATATCTGCAGGATTGTAAAAACATATTTACAAATAATTCTTTTTTTAACATTTCATATACATCAGCACCATAGTAAAAAAACAAAACCAAACCCAAGATATTAAAGTTTGACTTTTTATTACTTGGTCCCAGTTCAAAATATTTGGAGGAAGCTTTTCAAAGATAATGGATTTTGAGGCCTCATCAAACACTAGTTCCTGTACTTTTCTGATAAAGCTGAATGTTAAATTTAATTACTCATTAGATTTTGTGCGGTTCAAAACTCCAACTTCTTAGTCTTCTTGTTGTCACCCTTTCCAGCAAAGAGTGACCCTGCCCCAGAGGAGTGATGAAGACAGATACCTGGTTCCTATCTTACGCTTTTGCATGCTTATTCAGGTTTAAAAGGAGGTGGCTGTATCTCTCACCTCTTCAGCTGATTTCTGTAACCCACAGAACCTTTTTCTTGGTCTTCCAGTCCTCAGCACTAGCTGATATAATGATACCTAATTATGCTCAGAGTATTTGTGGACTAAAATCTTCTTGGGATCCTCAGGCCACAATTCTCCACTGGTGCTAAGATGAGTCCTGACTTGGCACATTGTGCACTGAGAACATGGCAAACCACTTCTCTGTTAGCAAGCTTTGCCACATGCCAAGTCCACTGATGTGCAAGCTCATTGGTCAACCTTCATGTTAGCACAAGCAGGAAGTTGCATGAAGTGGTTCTTTTAGCTCACGACATCCAACTTTCAAAGGTGTCAACAATATGTCTCCCACTAATTCCAGTGAGTTAGATGATGAGACAGTATGTGGGAGTTTCAAAATCATGTCACAAACCAGATGAGGGCCTAAGTACACCTTATATGTAAATATGTGTAACTGAATCGTAATTCTCCCCCTTCCCCATTTTCCAGGAAAGTTAGCTTCTGGAGTTTGTGGTTTTAAGTGAAGTGTGGGTTGTGACTGAACCCTTCTCTGCTTGCTTCTTCTCCACTTTAAAACTATCCCTCCGAGTTGCTTCTATCCTACGGAGTTCCAAATGTGTGTTTGCTCTCGCTCCTACTCATCACCCCATCCCACCCTCTGCTTTAAATAATAATAATAATTTATTACTTATACCCTGCCCGTCTGGCCGGGCCTCCCCAGCCACTCCGTGTGGCTCCTAACAGAATATTAAAAACACAATAAAACATTGAAAACTTCCCTAAACAGGGCTGCCTTCAGATGTCTTCTAAAAGTCAGAGAGTTGTTTATTTCCTTGACATCTGATGGGAGGCCATTCCATAGGGCGGGTGTCACTACCAAAACTGGAGTGTGCTAAAGAACATGGGGGAAATGGTGGCTGGGGAAAGGGACAAGTATTCCATCTCTCTGCTGATTCTCCACTAAAAAAAATGCTGCCTCTGAATTTGGATTTCCCAGGGATAGGGGAAATACGGAATGCACCACTGGAGTTTGGTTACATATTTGCATGTAATGTATAATCAGGCCCGAAAAAGTGACATGTGTTTAATACCAAGCCTGTATCTAAAACACAGGCAAATAGTATCATATTCAACTCCCACCAACATAAATGACTCCATTTTTTTGCAGGTCAGTTCAAGCCACACAAAACTGTGGCTTAGACAGTTCCATTTGAAGATTGATCTTTGGAATGTCGTAACTTTATGTACAACTACTTCCAGCAATTGAATGGAAGACCCTTCCTTTCTTATTCTGTTTGTCACCAACTAGTTTAGGCATCATAAAGAGCTTGGTGTTATCATGTTCATAGTAGGAAGGTTGACAAAGAGGACCAGCCAATAGAGAACGTTAAGCATAAACTTGCTTCCAACCTGTCAAAAGACATGTTGACACTGCTCCTAAATAATTTCTATGTAAGACCACCAGGAGAATTACTAGCCCCTCTCCCTTCTCCCAAAGACATCTGCCTGTCCAACCCAACCCCTCACAGGTAACACCTATTCATCTTGAATTTTCAGGAAAAGAACAAGCTGGACACCACTGTTTGCAAGTTCTTAATACATATAACCTCTCCCTTTTTAATGCCTGCTTTCTTTTGCATCTGTGTCTTTGGTAGCTGCTATCTCAGTGAGCAATATAAGTACTGCAGCCTCAGTGTGTCCTAGAGCTCTGTATTTCCCCCCATCCTTAAAAAGTGACTCAAGAGTCACTTGGTTATAGAGGAAACCGGAAACACAGGAATGGAAAACTATGTAGATAGGGATTTTCTCTGCACCCAAAGGAGACTTGATAGCACATTGAATGGACCCTTTCATCTGCGGCCATGTCTAGTCATAACCATAACCAAGCAGCCTCTGCTTGACTCCTGATCAAATCAGACACATAACTACATGGAGAAACTTGTCATTTGCTTAAACCCAGAGTTTAGCACCTGTACTGATCCCGGCCTCTCTTTCTCTTTCAGGTGCCCCTTCTTTTGTCTCGGCGCCTGTCTCTGCAATGTCCTGACACTACAGCAGTTCCAGCAGAACTGTGGTGGAAAGTTTATTGTTATGGGGCAGCCAGTGCTTGCCATGTGGAGACTACCAATCTTCTTCCATAGCCCATGGGCAGCAAGTAGCAATTTTTGGAGCCCCCTACCTCTCTCTTTGTCTTATTCCCACCTGCAGCAGGCGGAGTATGGGGTGGAGACTGCTGTGAGGACACCAGCAAGGCCTTCTGTTCAATGCTTTACATTCCATCCATGCCTTCCACAATCAGCCACAGATCAGCTTGCTTTGCACAGCTTTAAAAACAAAACAAAGAAACAAGGATGGACAACATCCTGCTTTCCTTTTTTCTGACCCCACAAAGGTTTGTAACTATACATATCCCCATGTGCTACGGATTTCCAAACAGCTCATCAAGTTCTTGCATCCACTCATCTCCTGGCCCACCTTTAATGATGGAATCTACGAGGTCTGTGCTGTCTGCTATACTTGGAAAGGAACCGCCAGCTCCTTCGTTGCTGTAACTATAAGATATGTCCTGAGTGGGATTCCTCTCATAGATCTGACCTTGGCTGCTCTGAGCAAAGCTACCCCCTGGTATCTGTTGTGCAGGGGACTGGTTAAAACCAGCCATAGTGGGAACTGCTTGGCTTATTGTAGGCATAACCATTGGTCTAGCTTGGTTGTTGGTTCCTTGTTGTCCAGGGAGTGGTTGCAACATTTGCCTTCCCATTGCTGGATTCAGGGTCCGTACTGTTCCACTTGTGTCCATGACAGACTGACTAATGCCTTGTGGGAAGTGTTGCTTAGGCAACCTTGGCTGAGCAGATTGCATCGGGTAAGCTGCACCATTATTGAAAGGTCCAATTTCGCCGCTAGTCCTTCCAGGGATACCTTGCAAGCCTCGTGCCTGCCAGTTCTGTGCTCCTTGCGGGACAGGCCCCATCATGTTTTGAAGTCTGGGAGCTTGTGGTCTGGGTAGAACCTGGCCCACAGGTCCTTTCATCTGCTGGTGTTGCAACATGTTTGGACCAAAGCTACTGACCATGCCAACCCCTTGTGTCGAGGTGGGCTGCCTCGGCCCCTGACTTGGGTTGTGTGCCAGGCTCATGCTACTTTGGTTTGGGTGCTGCAACATTTGGCTCATTCCTGTGTTCATATTGTACATTCCTGGCTGGCCGGCCGCTGGGCTGCTGTAGGGAGCCATCCCCATCTCAGATTGGCCAGCTGCGGCAGACATCGCGCCAGTGTTTTGTGAGGCTCCCATGGTCATCATGCTGGTGTTCTGGGACATCATTCGGGAAGTCCTCATGCTCTGAAGAGCTGCCTGGTTTCTCACTGCTGCTATATCCTGCGGGGAACCTGAAGCAGAAGAAGGAAAAATATTAAAAAGTGAGTTTTGGCAATAATATTTTATTGGACGTGTGGACGCAAAGGGATCTTGGCCCCTAGGAGGTAGCTCCTATGCTAGGCACTGGGGAACAAAGCAGGAGATGGCTATTGTGCTCATACGCTTCCTGTGAGCTTCCCATAAGCCTTTGGTTGACTGCTGTGGAAATCAGGATGCTGGACTAGGAAGGCCTTTTGGTCTGATCCAGGAAGGCTCTTCTTGAGTTGTCTTGCAAAGCTAGTATTATCTCCAGATAGTGGTCTGATTGCAGTTAGCACCCAGCCTGGCAGTGAAACTTCAATGCCGTACACAGTTACCAAGGAGTAATTCCCATTGAAGCCAATGGGAAGTACGTCTGAGTAGACATGTAAAGGATTGTGCTGTCAATGGTAGTGCAAAGAGGTGTCAGTGAGGTCCATAATAATGCAAGCATTAGTTAGAAATCTATTTAGGCATTTAGAATTGAAAACAAACAAACAAACAAACAATGGCCTGACCATTAGTTATCTGAGGCACTCTTTCAAATATTTCCATTATCTTTCAGAACTAAACCCATGAAAATAGAAATGTCAGGCGCAGAGAGGCTAATCAATTTTTTTATAGCTTAGGAGGCATAAGTGAATGGATTTTCTATAGTGGTGTTACTGATTATGTCTATGGAAAGAAGAAAAATTTAGAACAGAGACGGTGTATTAACAAATCAATACTGTAAGCACATTTTGCTCCACCTTTGGACCAATGACGGGAAGCCAGAAAATCCTTTGCCTGTTAAATTCTACACCCTGGCAGATACACCCAAACTAGGTGTCTTCCTGTTGAGGAGGGATGTAGAGGGAGGAGTGGATGGAAAGGATTATTGATTTCTGGAAAGCAAATATGCTCTGGTGTTTATCATCTTTATTTAAAAATAATTAGAGGAATTTTGATTATGCCAAGAGTTCATTGTGGCACCAGCTCAATACAATGCTGAGTACACACTGCTGACAAGAGCATAGCTCTCACCTCAGTAAAAAGATACATGAAACCACTGAGAAAGAATAATATTTCTGTGAAGTGTTACCTGACTGTTAAAAAAACCCAGGAACCAACTATATCTCAGTGTCTTCCTTTGTTTCATTGACAATATGAAGCACATCCTCCAGCTTAATATAATACAAAATAACAAATCACCATTTTAACCACCAGGAGAGTGTTTTGTTTTACAGACCATGTATTTAGATTTCTCTATTAAGGCTACACCAAGAAAAAAAAGTAAATAAAATGTACCAAGGAAACTCACAAAATATGAAAAAAGTCCTCTTCTCCATCTCCCCCCCCCAACACAATATTTATGTGTTTTGAGCAGACAGGGCTCTTCATTGGACAACATTCTAAGATTAAATTTAAAAGATGAAAACAATGTGGATTCAACTGTTTGTAGCTCCTTAATATTATCTTTATCAATAGAATTTTGTGTACACAGGATGAAAACCCCATGGAAATGAATGGGATGCTCAACACATGGAGGTCTGAGAGGGGAAGCATAGGGCCAGCAAGCATAAGGCCACAAGAAAAGCCAACTGGATCAGGCCAATGACCCATGTAGTCCAGCACAGCGCCCAACCAGATGCCTGTGGAACCCACTAGCAGGATCAAAGCACCAGAGCACTCTCCTTGCCGGTGGCTTCCAGCAATACTTATGCATTACTGCCTACAACCATGGGGCAGAACATAGCCATTGTCGCTAGTAACCATTAATAGCTTCTTCCTCCATGAATTTGCCTAAATTCTCTTTTAAAGTCATCTAAGTTGGTGGCTACCAATGCATCACAGCTTTACATATGAACGGGACAGACTCTGACAAATAGAGGATGTGCTGCCCTTACGTAGAGTTTCGGTTTCTGACAATCTCCTCTTGGGTTGCCTGCTCTTGCCTGCCACGTTAATAACTCTGCGTCAATTAGCAGTACAGTAAATAGAATGCATAGCTCATATCTAGCTATGCATTAGCAGGCAGCTTGTGCTCCCCAATTGCCTGCTGGGCTCTCACCTTGGAACTGATTGACCTGCTGCACAGGGTAGGGGTTCCTCTGCTGTTGCTGGAGGTGCTGCCGAGGCAGATGCGACTGCTGTTGCTGCTGCTGTTGCTGCTGCTGCAAATGCTAGAGAGAGGAGCAAGAAGAAGAAGAAGAGGTTGGTGAGCCTGCTGCCCAGCTGACTGTTGCGACTGCAGTCAGCAAGGCAAGCGGCGGAACTGGCACTTTTCCAGCAAGGTGTTCTTGAACGACAAGTGCTGCGTCGAAGTGGCAGGCAAAGTGAGCAGCGGCCCTGTACAGATCAAGAGCCCTCCGCACACAGCGTTGCTCAGACTCCAGGCATCGACTGCCTCTCCACAGCAGCTCTCTGCTCTTCACTTGCTGAGAACTTTTCGTACTTCTGCAAGACTCGGGAGAGGAGAGGAGAGGAGAGGAGGGAACGCTCCTAGCTGAGAATCATGAACCAAACTCTGGGACCATTTAGTATTTCTGGATCTAAGTTAGTTAAGCCTACGGGGCTGGTTCTTATGAGCTGGGGCAGCCCAGTTGCTGCTGCCCTGGAAGTTCCAGCAATGGAGGAACAGAAGAGCCATGTAGGGGAGGGATCTGGGATGGTGTGGGGAGAAGAATGCAACTATCAAAACAACCATGAGTATGGTTTACGCTTTCTCCTTTGGCTTTTCATGGAGGTTCAGTAAGTTAGGAATGGGAGGACTAGGTGAGGTAAATCCATTCATCCTCTAGTCCTGGGGTGGGGAACCTCTGACCCTCCAGATGATGCTGGCCTTCAACCCCCATCAGCCCTGACCACTGGTGAAGCTGGCAGAGGCTCATGGGAGCTGGACTGCAACAACTTCCAGAAGGACACATGTTCCCCACCCAGATGGGATATGTGGCTCTGTCCATTTCACCTCACCCAGTTTTTCCATTCCTAGCTTACTGAACCATCGTGAGAAGAAGCCGTGGGGGAAAGCGGAAGCTATACCAATCCCATTACACCCTCTCCTCCTCTGTGAATATGTTCCATTAGACTTCTCTCAATAAGATGGGCAGGTTCAAGCACTGTCACATCCTTATTTAATGAATAAGAATGATTACATGGTGGAGGCAGGGGAGGTAGGAAGGATGCTGCCCTGAGTGCTGGAAGGAGTGCTGGAAGCAGAGCTGCTCTCTGCTGCAAGGCCCATTTCCACCTGGCCTAGGGGTTGGGCCCAGACTCCCCTTTAACCACTAGAAGAGGCTCCTGGGACATTGCTGGAGCAACTCTTGGGTGGGGGCAACTGACTAAAATGTTTTAAATGGTTCTAATTTTGGTTCCTCTGTTTCGTTTTTGTCAGGTTGGCGTTGGTTAAATGTTTAGTTGGTGGTTATTTAAATTTGGGTATAACTGTAAACTGTTTATTATTATTGGTGTTATTGTTATTATTGGTTTCTATTGATTTACTGGTTTGTTTGTTGCTTGTATAGGATATTTTGTTTTTTAATGTTTGATGTTTTGTTGTGTTTTTATAAATGTTGTAAGCTGCCCAGAGTGGCTGGGGAAACCCAGTCAGACGGGTGGGATATAAATTTAAAAAAATTTAATTTATTATTATCTTGCAAGAAACAAACATGCTGGATTCAAGACTCAATCCCTGCAGACCATTGACTAAAAGTCAGAACTACTGGAATGATCCAAATCCTGGCCCAAGCAGCAGCGAAGGCTGACAGAACTGCTGCTGCAGCCACAGCTCATATCTGCCAGGGCAAGCAAATCACCGTGCTAGTCTGCAGCTGATGCCATAAAGTAGCAGCATTGAAGGTGTCGCAGGTTCAAGTGGATCCTGGGCCATCCCCACAACACCTCATTTTGGGGCTTTCTCTGGGCTTCTGCCAGTGGAGATTCTGCCTGTCCTTCAGTGGCCAAAACAGAGAGTTGAACAGCAGTGGAGCGATGCAGACATCACTCCACGGCCAGAAACCTGGGAGGAAGGACAAAAGCAGGGGGTTGGATTGCAGCCTAAGTGCCAGCAGCTGAATGTATGGATTTATTCATTCATTTCTCACTTCCTTAATAGGTTGTGCACTCTCCTGCTGTACAACATCGGCTTAGGAGTACAGATAGAAGCAGATTTTGTTGCTGTTGCTTGATTACAAAAAAATGCAGGCAGTGCAGCAGTGTGACTAGCTCTCAAATCCTTGCTGTGAGGCTGTTCTCCATCTATTACTGCGAATGAGGTATCAGGCTACTGAAAAATCATTCACAGTGCCTAAAGAGATGCACTTGTGGCATACTTCAGGGATTTGTGTGGAAACCAGGCCCTGATGCACACTTGATAATACGCCTGAGCTCAGCAGGTGTACAGAGTGGCTTCTTCACAAATGCTGCCTTACTTGTGCAGGGAGTTACACCAGTCACCACTGCACCCGGCATATGAAACATCACTTTGCAGTTCTGTGGGATTTTACTAACTAGCCATATGGCAATTTGATCAGTTAATTAATTAAACGTAGCACAGAAGATCCCCCAGAACTTCAAGACCAGTGTTTGATGTATTAGCATGCAGTAAACGGAAACAAATGAAAAGCAAATGCTTTTCCACAGGCTTCTTTTTCACTAAGATGCTTTCACTTAATACAAATTTGGGAGTGGAAAAAGGATCCCCTTCCCCCCAAAACACTTGTTGATTCTGGGAGGCTTTTTTCACCTTCACCTACCCAATAGCACAGTTTGCTTAACATCTGTGATCAGGATTTGTTTTTATTTAAGTTTAGGTTCTTACATTAGGAAAGTGGCCTGGTTGCTGCTGTTTCTTAATTTCTCTGTGCATGATGCTTAGGGTGTTCTAACAATGGGAGAATGGAGAAGCACAGGACACATTTTGGTGCTTGAAGTGGAACAGCAAATGCCTCCCTCAGCCAAGATGCAGAATACTCAAGGCTGGCTAAGTAATTTTGGCACCCGAAGCAGAAAAATCCCCCCAAGCACCTCTCCCTGGGAGTAAAAGTGCAATAATTATAAATCAGCGACTAACCATTTGTGTTCTTTTATGACATCCCAAATCAGCTGCCAGAGGCAGCTGCTTCACTCTCCCTAATGGTAGGGCTGACACATGGGAATCGACACACCAGCATTAAAATATCAATTGGGAGAACACAGGAATGACATAGGCTATAGAAAGAATACTGGTGTGGTTCTTCCTTTCTCTTCGATCCAATGAGATCCTAACTTTAACTTTGTGGAGACATGTCATAGATGAAGTGACAACCATGCTGTTCCCATAAGCTAAGAATGATCTCCTGTGATTGAATCAAACACCTTATAGAAACAGCAGAAAATTATTTTCTAGGTAACCATAAAATAAGGAAGAGGAATGGAGATTCCTTAGAGACATACATTCCGTTTTTCTCTGCAACATGCCATTAAAGGACCAAAGCAATTGCCTTCTGTCCCAATTACACCAGTAATTAGCATTATCGTTTATATTGCACCTTAAAGTGTTTAGCAATCCTTATCTTGTTTATCCTCACAATAGCCTTGTGATGGAGATGGAGAGAAAATAGAGAGAGCAAACTAAGAATCAAATGACTCTTCCAGAGCCGCCAGAGAGAGAACGAATCAGTGGTCCACAGAGGGAAGTGAGTTCTTCTCTAGATCTGCCTCCCTAAGCCTGTTGCCCTGCAGATGTTTTGGACAAGACGGCCGTAGCTGATGGGAGTTGTAGTTCAAAACATCTGGATGACACCATGTAAGAAAAGGCTGGAGCTCATAACAATACACAAGTCACTGCACTATTGTGGCAGTCAGTCCCTTGTCTCATAATTGACACATGCATGACAAATGAAAGCCTAGATTACAGAAGCTGCAGGGTGCTTGTATGAACCTTATGGATTGCACTGCTTGGTTACAATTGTTGTTGGAAAGGGAAGTTCTGTTGTCTCCCCAGTTGCATCTCTGTTCCAGGGCTGGGAATGGTCACTTAAGGCAGGCATAGGCAAACTCAGCCCTCCAGATGTTTTGGGACTACAATTCCCATCATCCCTGACCACTGGTCCTGTTAGCTAGGGATCATGGGAGTTGTAGCCCCCAAACATCTGGAGGGCCGAGTTTGCCTATGGCTGACTTAAGGTATGGAGTGAAAGGGTGCAGTACCTGTTCTGCCAAGATCTGTTGCTGTTGCCGCTGCTCTCGTAGAAACTGCTGCTTCTGCTGTTCCATCATGTGGAGCTGGGCCCTTTGCTCAATCAGCATCTGCTTCATAAGGGCAGCCTGAGGCTGTCCACCCAAGAAACTGGCATTGACCGAACTTGTGCCCACGTTACTGGATCCTGGTGGCACCGAGGACTGCATGGGACCTGTGGACCGAGACAGTCCCACTGCGTGCTGGTCCTGGACAAGGAAACAAACAAAAGCCATGTGAGGAATCATTGGGTATGTGATTAGGCTTATCTTCATTTCGTCTTAGTATTTTATCCCACCCCTCCATCACATGCAATGGAACATCAAGGTGTCATACAAACACCACAATTCAGAAACAAAGCAAGATTTTAAAGGGGGGGGGGAAGAGACAACCAGCTGATTATTTGTTTATTTTGCAAAGACACAGGTCATTACCAATCAGATGCACCAGAATGAATTAAAATTTCCACGTAGCATCTAAAGGCCACCAGGGAGGGAACCAACTGAGTTTCTAGGGAGGAGGGCTTCCAGGGTCTGGGTACCACTACAGAGTAGGCCTTCTCCCACAAATGCCAGCATGGAACAAGGCCTTCTTCAATGAGCTGAAGAAAAGTCCAGCAGGATCATTGGGGGAAGGTATCCCAGTCCCAAACCATTCATGGTTTTAAAGGTAATAACCTGAATTTTGAATCCGAGTCAGAAACGGCCCAGGAAGAAGAAGAAGAAGAAGAAGAAGAAGAAGAAGAAGAAGAAGAGGAGGAGTTTGGATTTGATATCCCGCTTTATCACTCCCCTAAGGAGTCTCAAAGCGGCTAACGTTCTCCTTTCCCTTCCTCCCCCACAACAAACACTCTGTGAGGTGAGTGGGGCTGAGAGACTACAGAGAAGTGTGACTGGCCCAAGGTCACCCAGCAGCTGCATGTGGAGGAGCAGAGACGTGAACCCGGTTCCCCAGATTACAAGACTACCGCTCTTAACCACTACAACACACTGGCTCCAGTCAGTGAAGCTACTAGAAGAACTGAATCGCACAACCCAACAAATCAGCCCCAGTGGAAGCATTTTGCACCAGCTAAAATTTCTCAGCACAGTATGTGGGGTGCTGCAAATTGCAGAAGGAGGACTCCACGCCTGTCTAGATGTTACACTTGCTG